TCAAATTAGGTAATTAATATTCATAGATTTTTACCCAAAAACTAATCAAATCTGCACACTAGTTCAGAGCATCCATGTGCCAAGTTTCATCAAAATCCAATGAGTGGTTCTTCAGATATCAGTGGAACAGTCTTGGAACAGCTAAAAATCAGCTAATTATCATGCAAATTAGGTAATTAATATTCATAGATTTTTACCAAAACCTAATCAACTCTGCGCATCATCCCAGAGCATCTATGTACCAAGTTTCACGAAAATTTGATTAGTGGTTCTTGAGATAACGGTGGAACAAAAAAAGTGACATACTGTAAAGGGGGTAATTATTCACTGGGTTTTAATTTAGCTTATTTCGCTGACTGGAAAAATGCGCTAAATTAAAACACAGTGAATATGTAAAATTTAACATAGAACACATTATCTAAATGACGAAACCGTGAATTTAAAACCCACTGATTATGCCTGAAATGGTAAATCAGTGAAATTTAAACCCAGTGAAAATTAGTCATTTTACAGTACATACATACATACATACAGACAGACAGGGCAACTGCAAAGACTCGCTTTTGTGCTTCACAGGTCAACCAATATGTCTTTGTACCAACTCTGAACTGAAAATATGGCTACATAAACTGCATTCATTTAAATAAGATGACTGTCAGTCAGCCATATTACAAGTTTGAAGCAGACAAAAATGCATATGCGGTTATCCCATATGTTTGATGTAAGTTTAAACTTAAACAGTTCAAGTATGTCTGATATATAGATCCAGAACAGCTTTTATGTAAGTTTAAACTTAAAGAGTTCAAGTATGTCTGATATATAGATCCAGAACAGCTTTTATTACAATAACAAAAATGACACCAGTCGGCAATTTTAAACTTGATCAAAAAAATGAAATGCATCAAGCTCCCATTAAACATAAATGCATGTGCACATGTCCAGTGTGTGAAATTTGATCCATCTAAGTATGCAGAGACTGACTTATGCAACCATGGATGTCAATCCATAAGTCCTTGTTTACAGACTGCAGTGGCAGTAAACCAACAGAATGCAACGAAAACAAAAGCATGGAATTTTTGCTCTAATCATGCAAATACATTTTTTTGTACTTTATCTGCACTACATGTTTATACTGTTTAATGAAGCAGATGGTCAATAACTGGAACAGTAAATTAATTTCTCACCTCCTTGGGGGCACTCTCTACTCATATGTCCATCTTCCCCACACTTGAAACATCCACGTCCACCTACAAATAAAAACCTTGCAATGCATCAAAGAGAAACACCTACAAATAAATACCATCATATCTGGCATCTGCATCAGTCGTTAAGGTTACCATAGTTGTCTGGGTAAGTGCCCAGGGTCCTGAACATTTAAAATTGCCAAAAAATAGGTGTGGGCATATGACCAGACATCCCCTAAAAAAAACGATTTGCGATTGAACTGCCGAAGAGAATACAATGGCAAATGAAAACATGCAACGTAAATAAAACAATATGCAACATTAAAGTATGACAAAAACAATTTATTGCTTATAATGTGACAAATAAACCAGAAATAATAACAAGCAGCCTATCGGCTGAGATAGCTCCGCTGTTAGCAATGCACATTTCAATTAAAAAACTGAAGACATCATTAGAAAATGAACAATATGAATAGTATCAAAGCAATTGAACTATTGGTTTTTAACAAGAAGTCGAAAATATCACTTTTTACCAAAAATTACAAAAATATTCACCAAAATTAGAGAATTGAAGATATCATCACAAAATGAACAAATCTGAGAGAGGTCCACATGTAGTACCTATATATGTAATATCAAAGCATTCGGACTTGCAGTTTTCAACAAGAAGTCGAAAATATCACTTTTTTACCAAAAATGACAAAAATATTCACCAAAATCAAAGAAAGCTTAGAAAGAACTCCCGTGTGTTGAGTTTTGGAGACACATTAAAAATTAATTAAAAATTACTTATACTTGAGATATTCATGGAATAACTGAAAACTAATTATGCAAATAAAGTAACTAATATGAACAGATTTAAGTGTAAAACTAATAAGGTCTGCACTATGTACCAAGTTTCATTGAAATGTGATTAGAACCAAAAAAAATATGAATTATTATACTAATTAGAGAATTAATATGAACAGATTTTAACCCAAAATTAATCAGACTGTCTATTGTCCTAGTGCATTTATTTACCAAGTTTTATTCAAATGTGATGATAAATACTTGAGATATCAGTATTAATTAATTATGTTAATTAGATGATTAGGAAGCATAAATATATACCAAAAACTAATATGGTGCATAGTCTTAGGTTCATTGAAATGTGATGGGTACTATTTAAAAGTTTCATTGAAATCCAATGAGTGGTTTTTAGACATAGAACAGCAAAAAATTAACTAGTTATGCAAATTAGGTAATTAATAGGCACAATTATTCAGGTCTCTGCATAGTCCTAGAATATCTATGTCGCAAGTCTCATTGAAATGTGATGATTAGTACTTAAGATATCAGGTGAAAATTAACTAATTATGCCAATAAGGTGATTAATATGCACAAATATTTACCCAAAAACTAATTAGGTCTCTGCACAGTCCTCAAGTAACTATGTACCAAGTTTCATTGAAGCGTGATCATTACTACTCGAAATATCAAAAGCTGAAAATTAATTAATTATGCAAATTAGGTAATTAATATATACTGAAATTACCCTAAAAACTATCAGGTATGTGCAGTGTCCCAAGTTTTATTGAAATGTTATGATTAGTACTTGAGATATCAGTGGAAAAGCCGAAAATGATAATCATTATGTAAATTAGGTAATTAATAATATAACAGATTTTTACCCAAAACTAATCAAATCTGCGCATTAGTTCAGAGCATCCATATGCCAAGTTTCATTGAAATCCAATGAGTGGTTCTTCAGATATCAGTGGAACAGTCTTGGAACAGCTCAAAATCAGCTATTTATCATGCAAATTAGGTAATTAATATTCATAGATTTTTACCAAAATCTAATCAACTCTGCGCATTATCCCAGAGCATCTATGTACCAAGTTTCACCAAAATTTGATTAGTGGTTCTTGAGATAACGGTGGAACAAAAAAAGTGACATACATGCATACATACATACAGTACTCATTCCGCCCAACCTCCCGCTTTTATCGCTTTTTCTCCCCGACCGCTTATCGCTTAATTTCCGACCGCTCGCTGCTTTCCGACCGGAAACCGACTGCTTTTTTTCCGCTCGCTCGCGCTCGCTTTTGTTCGCTCGCTCACTCGCTTTTGTTCGCTCGCTCGTTCCTGCTATGGCTGGCTTCAGAAACATCGTCCGCTTGCCAACCGACCGCTGGAGTAACAATGATCGTACATTGTATGTATAAACTTAAGTTTTTAGTCGTAATAAATTTAGGTTTTAATGACGATTCAAAACACAACGCCTCTTGTTTTTCTGTGTTGGAACAAAGACGCCTTCAAATCTTGACACATTGTAACATTTGCTACGCAAGTCGAACTGTGACCTGTATTTACATATTTACGTCCTTGTGTGTGTAGTTCAACTATATAACTGGTCAATCGCGATATGTATTGAGTACTAGTATTTGTGTGTTGTGTGTGTGTTTCTGTGTGTGATTTTGACTAAATTTATTCCGAACGGCGCTCAAAATAATTTGACACTTTGTTATTTGCGAACGCAACTCGCACTATGACCCTTACTCAATTTGCACAAGTAATACGAATGCTGTAGTTCAGAAAATCTATTGGTTAACTTTTGCTCGTGTCTGGGTGCGCAAAACAAGACTGCACATATAATTATCGCATAGCTGAATTTCTACAAATCAATTGGACTTAAACTACTAGTATAATGACTGTGACGATTAATCGCTTGTCTGAGTACATGCGGCGACGAATTATTGGATTGGCAGCA